GTAGATATATAATGACTGCTTAATTATAATTATTTTTAAATTCAAAAACTATATTCAATACCTTAGTATCCATTTCAGAAGATTCTCAAACATTTATCTCTATTCAGTTTTCATGTCAAAAGAAAAATAGGAACTTAAGTTTACTTTTACATGAATAAAAACATGAATTTTATTATAGTTATTTCATATATTTGATTAAACCATTTATTCTTTATCCTAACAAAGAAATTAAGCATATTTAAAGAGTTTCTATGTAGATCAGAGTGGATAAGTCATAAAAGTTGGATTTTATTACTGAAATTTTAGGATCATTTAATATACTTAGAAATAAACATTGAACTCCCAATTTTTTAGCAAATTTTAAGGCGGAGCTTTGCACCTATGTCTTCCAAATATGGAATATAGTCTCACAAAATTCATATGTGGCTTACTTTTGTACCTATGGTATATCTCAATATGCTTTTACTTAGAAATAAGTTTCTCTGAACACTATGGTATAAAGGCTCTTACATAATTTTTAATAATAAAAAAGAGAATTTTAAAGGGAAGTGAGAATTTAAAATGTTTTAGATCTTTTCTATACTGCATCAAGTCTTTTGTACTATGTATAACCTGCAATATGATATGATCACACATTAATAGATGGTTGCTATAGCTATATTATACATATATGCTAAACAAAAAACATGAACTTAGATTTAGCTTTGTTTCTACGTGGAAACCATTTTGGGACTTTGTGCTAGAAATGGAAAAAAGTGATTTATTTGATTATTAGAATGGCTTGTGATTACAGGAATACAATGTAGTATTGAATTTTATACCAAAATGTTAATGCTTGCTATATTTGTAACTCTACTGAAGAAAGTTGAAAGTTCCTCAAATTTGTCTTTATTCTTTTGCACCTCCCCTTCCCTATTTTCCTTTTTAAATTTTCTTCAGTTTTTTAAAAATTTTTGAAGAAATTTAATAAAGTATATTTTAGAAAAGGAAATACATGGAAACCACTAAGAATGTGCAGTGCCATGAACTAACTGGAGTTGTAATGGAAGCAATGAATGACAACAATTTTAAGAGCAGAAAAATGTAGATAATCTTTTTGGGAATATGTACTTGTTTTGCACTGGATGAAAAGAACTAAACAAGAAGCCTCCAAAAAAATAAATGAAATTTTAAAAGAACTGAATGAAATCATCCAAAATGAAGCCAACATGACCGGACAGAGTAGTTTACAGATGAATATAGACATTATAGCAAATGCCAACAAGTGGAATTAAAACAAATGCTATAAAAGTAAGCATTCAAGAGAAAAAGGGAACCAAATGATACTTGAAAAATGTTTATTTTAAAGTAAGGCTACAGGTGTAGATGGTGTGACTGGAGAACTATGGACCTGACTGATGGAAAAATAAGGATGTGAAAATCAAATCTCTGCCTGATTGGAAGAATGTATCCTTTAACAAATGTGTTGCAGGTGGCAGAAACTTAAAGTGTAATTGTTCATTAAATGTATCAGGGCAGGCATTTGGCAGAATTGATTGAAGACTACAGTAAAAAAGACAATGAGCCAAAGCTGGGAAGAGTAATGGAACTCTACTTTGTAAAGGGGACATAAAATGGGAGGAGGGGCTAAAAGGTCATTGGAAAATGTATAAAAATAGGAAAGGTTGTTGATTTAGAAAAGATGCATGATGAAAAGGTTTAAGTTACAGAATGTTTTGTGCTAATATTTAATTGAAGGTTAATATAAGAGGACCAGATGGGAAAACTTGCAAGAAAATGAATACAATGCATAGTAAACTAGCAGGAAATTACAAAAAAAGTAAGATGTCCCCTTTGCTTATGTAATGTATTTATGGACAAATGTACAACTAATGTTTGTAACAATGTTAAAGGTGGATTGATTTGTATGTTGAATAAAGTATATGCACAGATCATTACATTTCTGGCTAAGAATCCAAATGTTTCGTAGTAAATTTCCCATAGGTTATATTATGCAACATGTGATACAACAGGGACAAAGCATCTTAAATTCATATCACAGCCAATAATACAGTATTGACAAGGAAAATAGAGTGAATAATTGCAAGAAAATACATAAATGGCAAATAACTAGTGTTTTATTTAGATAGATGAATTTGTTATACCTTGGTATAATGGTCACCAAGAATGAGAAAATGGAAACATTTTAAAATAAAAGCTGCTAGTATGGAGTCTATTGCTATCTATACATACATACATACATACATACATACATACATACATACATACATACATGCATGCATTTGTTAAAAGAAGCCAATGTGGTTTCATATGCAATAAGTCTTATGCTTCCCTTGTTACATGTGAGAGTTGGGTATATTAAGGCAAACATAAAAGTTGAATGCAGTGGGAATTGAATTCTTACATGTGTTTTGTGGTANGCACAGGATGCCCTAGAGGTCAGGCACTTTTGGGACCTTCACAGGGCCAGGAAGTGGCTTGAAAAGAAAACCACTGCCTCTTCTGAGTGCCGCATCTTCGCTTCGCGAGCAGCAGACATGCCTGTTGCGAGGCCACCCCATGCTCCAGCCTGGCCAGGGAATATAGGCACCCTTCGCACCCACCAAGCCTCCCCAAGATGTGCTGCCTCAGTTGCGTCAGCCGCTGGTAAGGCCAGGGCAACCTTCTGCCCATCCACCTGCCCTGCTGCCCTGGCCAAGTGGTGCCTGCACCTGCCACTCACCTTGAAGGTGACATTGTGGAACACCATTGCTGCTGAGGGAGGGCTGCCTGGGCAGCACCCCCCATTGGCCGCTTCCTCCTGGGCCATGCCTGCGCTCCTGCGCTGCCCTCCCGACAAGGAGGCGGTGGTGCATTGTTGGGTGGCGGGCAGGGCTGAGGACGGTGCAGCACTGCAGCGCTGCAGCCCTTGCCCTTTGGGCTCTTCTTGCGGGACATGCTGGCTGGTGCTGCTTCAGGGCGCCCCGACCACCGGCTCCTTCACATGTAGCCCGGCTCCCAGCATTGCCAGCATCCCATCCGGTGCCCGCCCTTGGCAATGTGGTCCATTCCCCCCCCAAAAAAGATCAACTGCCTGTCTCTTCAAATGATCTTGAAAACCTGTGAGGTTGCTTTGGGAGGGGGCAGAGGGGCAGCATCCCCCCCCCATCCTTGGTTGCTTGCAGCCTTGGAGCCTGCAGCAACTTGCACAGTAAAGGCAATTAAGAAATTGTCACACTCAGAAGATTTTCTTTACTGTGCAAAGGCTTGCTTTAAGGCTGCAGGCTCTGAATCTGCAGACACCCAGGAACGGGGGGGGGGGATGCTGCCCATCTGCCCCCTCCCAAAGCAACCTTGCAGGTTTTCAAGATCGTCTGGAGAGGTGTTTTTTTAAAGAAACCCCCGAAAAAGCCGCAAGATCTGGAGAGATGGTTGGTCGGTATTTTTTTTTGGGGGGGGGGAATCCCCAAGAACCAGGTTACCCAGCACCCTGAAAAGCTCCATGTGGGGCTCTGGAAGTTGCAAAGTGGGGCATGAGGGATAGAA